TTCGGTGGTATAAAGACGTGTTTTTATCACGTGTCTTCCTACTTGAAGATTGTGATCAATTCTATTGGAAAGAAATATTTATATCTGAACTTCTAAAACTCTTTTAGGGTGAACCGTACTATACTTTTTGTCTGATAGATATCTCTCTTGAGGCTCATGAGTCATGACGATTATCAAGGGTAGCCGATGATAGGGTGTTTGGCAGTCCAGTGCTTGGATATAGAGAGGTCATTTGGTGGCCTTGGATATAAAGAGTTAAAAGATGAATAAGTTCAGATAGTGAAGAACGCTATAAATTTCGAGAATGAGATCATAATGAAAAAGTATTGTGAATCTTGCACATGCATATCGTTACTTGTTGAGTGTTTGCTCATATGGTTTTGAATTGTAGGTATGGAAATATGTTTAATGGAGGTTGGCGTCTTATCGTGGTTCAGCTGGCCCATCACTAGGGAAGCCTGAAAAAGGTTACACATTTTTCTATTGAAATTATTTTGCTTTCGAAAACGAATTATTTTAATTTATAATGTTAATTCTCGAATGTCGCCGCTATGTTAAGTAAACACTATCTTTTATTGTTCTAAGCTATATTCCATTTATTAGAGTTAAATAAAATGTTAATGAAATAACGTTAAAAGTATTTATTATTTTAAATACTTCGTTTACAATAAACGTAATTATTAAACAAGTTAGAAACCGTTTGCTGAATGACGTTACAAATATTATGTATAATATTATTTATTGTTTCGATAATTTGGCGGTAGGATTTATTGAATATGGAGAAAATTAGACGAATTTTTGGGGTCATTACAAAATGGTATCAGAACTTCATTTTGGATGATTCTGTAGACTGCACGGTATACACATATGTTGGAATTTGATACCATTTGTGACATTTGGATTTCAATATTGGGGCGATGATGAAATGGGTTAAAGCCCAAATTGTTGGAAAGTTTTGAAACTAAAACTATTGCCCAATAACTTAAAAGGAAAAGCCCAAGACCCAGCCCAAACTTAAATGCCAAGTGTGTTGCTCTGGTCCGTTGGATCTGCAGCCTGATCTACGGTTGGATGGTTGCCTATATGTTAGATATTGGATGGCCATTTTCTCGTGTGATTATTCATTCTGTTGAGTGAAGTTTTTAGCTTCGTGCGAAAGTTTCTGGGTGTTCTCTGTTCTTCGTGTTTTCTCTGTCTTCTCTTTCGATTCTTTGTGTTAGAGTTCATCTTTGTGATTCCAATCTTGGTGATTGTCCGATTGAGGAGTAGAGTGGTAAGATTGGTAGTAGATTCTTCAAACCATTCTAATGGCTGTTTTGTGCGGTTTGGGTTAGGGCTTGTGGTCTTTGTGGCTAGTTCTTTTGTACAGACAAGTACAATATTCTGTGTGAATTTCTGAGCCCTATATCAAGTGAAAGATCTGTATTCTTGTTGATCGATTGGTGTTCTATTTGAATCTTGATTTTCAGCTTCCGTTGGTTTATTTCCTTACAACATATTTGATAGTTATTTAGAGTTACGCCAACCAAGTAAGTTATAATTTTGTTTTGTATGCGATTTAATTGTTGGATAGTTATTTTTTGTCTTTGTTTGTTCAAAACTATAATGACAGTTCAACTTAGGAAAAATTACAGTCTTTAATAAATTTTGGTATGATATATTGAGATGTCGCACTTCAGAACTCCAAGTAGAAAGATTCAATATCGTTTATAAGAATCTAACAAGCACATGAACAATCTAAACCGTTCTGATACCAATTATTGGAAACTGGAACAAAAATTACTCAAAAAATAAAAATTTACTTTAATTCAATCACCTAGGATCTTTACTCAATGTTTCACGTATATGTTATAATTAAGAGAAAATAAAATTTTAAAACTTGCCCAAATCGATATTCGATCTTTTTATTGGAGCTGAATCATGAAATTTCAGCTTTTAGTTGAAAAACTAGACTTTCCCAACCCAAGTCCTTTATGGTATTCTCCAAAGTATAGACTATATCGGCATGTGGACACATTTTTCAATTAAATCAAAAACC